GGACGTTAACCCATAGTGTTTTGCTAGGAGCATTTACCGCTAGACACTACGTACCCTTAATAATTATTTTAAAATAAAAATATGAGTTTAAATAAAACATTTATTTTATTTAGTGACGTTTTATTTCTTATTTCGGTTCTTTGTAAACTTAAAAAAGGAAAAATATTTTTATGTTTAAAGTATTATTACTATTTTTAAATAATATGTTAAATTTTTAAAGACTATACATATTTATAGACTATAAAGCAGCCTACGACTTTATGAATAGAAGAGAAATGTTCAAAATAATGATAGAGCTTAGAAGAAGAAATACCAAATCAGTTGGTAATTTTAACAAAACCAACTCTTGAAAAAGTTGAATGTAGAGTACGAATTCAGAGGGAACTGTCTAAACCTTTTAAAACAAATAACGGGCTGCGCGAGGGAGACCCTGTCTCCCTGGTGCATCCCAGAGACGTATAAACAGATCTAGAGACGTCTCAGAGACAACAGTATACAGAGATCCTGTATACTGTTCCATCTGGCTCTGGAAAAGTAATACTTATGTCAAGAATCACAAACATTAATTCAACTTATAATAAATCATTGCAAATCCTTACGTATGCTGATGATATCAATAATGAGAGAACGAAAAACTCTCTCGCTGTACCAGAGGCGTATGCAGTACTAAAAAAATCTGCTACAAAAATGGTTTTATAATAAATACCAACAAAGCGAAGTATATGAAAACAAGCACGCAACCATAAATCCTACGACCACTTATAGAATTTGTATACCTGGAAGCACTCAAAGTGGAGCCATACCTCTTTTGGTTTGCAGGCTGGGTGGCTACGATCATCACGCAACCAAACCACTGCCATCCAAAAACCGACCTTCTCCTGCTGGTTAGTTCCTTTCCGTTTTAAGTAACAAACCAGCAGCGTATGGCCCTTTATGGCCCGATGAATGGCCAGCTAAAATCGCTCGAGATTCACCACCCTTCTCTGCACTTAATAATTTGACCAGTCACCAGACGTTTGAAGCCAAATCGAAGGTATATAGTAAAATAATGAAAAGTTTAAAATAGTAAATATATGAAAATCTAAAAGTGGACATTCACAAACATATTATTATAAAGACATAACAAAAATCTACGCTGTCAATAAGATAAAATCCTAACTAGTAGTGACCTTCAAGATCACCACTTTGTCTTCTTAAAAAATGTTTTAAACAACAGATCTTGTGAAAATAAATAATATTTTTTAAATATTCATCGTTTGGAAAATGTTACACCCCAAGGAACATAAATGTTATTTCTAGTGGCAATAAATGATATAATCAAAAATATTCAAGCACCCTTACAAGCCTGTTTATACGCTGACTACCTAGTGGTATGTATTAAAGGCAAACAATAAAAAAATCAATATGAGTTGTATTCTCTTTAAACTCCTTGCCACAACCCCAACCCTGATAATTTATGGGAAACAGCTGGAGTTTAGAAGTTATCACAAATTCTTGGGTTTAATCTTTAATTCAAAGGTTACATGGAAATATCACATATCAAAATCATCCTTTCCTGTAATAAAAGATAAAATCTATTAAGATCTCTTTGTAACAAAAACTTTGACTCAGATAAATCCACTCTAAGCTAGATTATGGCAATTGCCTGTGCCACTGCTGATCAATCTCTTTTTAAATCATTTAATGTCATTCATAATAAAAGTCTTGGAATAATTACAGCGGCTTTTCCAACTTCCCCGAAATCCAGCATTTATGTTCTTTAAGGAGAACCTCCGCTACATCACTCAGTCGCTTGTAATATTTTAAAATCAATATATCAAAATACTTTTACAAATTTGACTAATTTTCTGAATGTTTTCTCCTCGGATATTAAATACCCTAAGCCGTGGCTGATCGCCTTACCAATCTGTGATACATGTATGGCCTATTTCGATAAATCCAGTACAAACAATTCCCTTATTCGGCTAAAGTTCGAAGCTCTCTTAGAAAATTACCCGACTAGTATAAAATCATTACAGATGTATCCAAGTCCGAAGACATAGTGGGCGCATCAATTGTTTCCTTAGAAAACAATCTTCTTTTCCGTCTACCCTCAGTTCTTCTTCTTACGGTGCCTATCCGTTCCGGATGTTGGCGATCAACATGGCTATCCTAACTTTGCTTGCTGCTATTCTGAATGGTCCGGTTGTCGATGTATTAAACCACTTTCTCAGGTTTTGAAGCCAAGATATTCTTCTTTTCCTTGGTCCTCTCTTTCCAAATACCTTGCCCTGAAGAATGAGTTGCAACAAGCCGTATCTCTGTTCATTCCTCATAACATGGCCGAGATATTCTAGCTTGCGCTCTTTGGTGGTGTTAATAATCTCGCATTACTTGCCTATTCTACGTAGGACCTCAACAATAGTCACACGATCCACCCATTAAATTCTTAAAATACGTCTGTAACACCACATCTCGAATGCCTCGAGTTTTCTTAAAGAAGCTTCGAAAAGTGTCCAGGCCTCTACTCCGTATAATAAGGTAGAAAATACATAGCATCTAATGAGAGAGATTTTGGTGGCAAGTGGTAAGTCATGACTTCTGAAAAGAGACTTCATCATTATGAACGCTGATCTCGCTTTTCCTATTCGTTGTTTTATTTCACTGGAGTCATCCCATTGGCTGTTAATGTTGGTATTAAGATATGTGTAGCTGTCCACTCTGTCAATTGGATGTTGGTTAACCAAAATCTGTGTATTTAATATTTCGCGCTTATTGACTTTCATGTACTTTGTTTTCTTCGTATTAAGATCAAGTCCGTGTTCTTTACTTATATGTGATATATGCGACATTATTTTTTGCAAACCGTCCAGACTATCTGCAAAAACTACTGCGTCGTCGGCATATCTAATGTTGTTTAGACGCATTCCGTTGACTAATACGCCTTCTTGTAGTTCTCTCAGCGCTTGCTCGAAGATATATTCAGAGTATATATTAAATAACACCGGGGAAAGAATGCATCCTTGCCTCACTCCTCTATCTATGTAGACTGCCTATGTCAATTGATCATCCACTTTAATATTGACTGTTGGGTTGTAATATAAATTATAGATGATTCTCAAGTCCCTATCATCTAACCCCACTTCTTTCAAGATGTTTATAAGTTTAACATGTGTTACTCCATCAAATGCTTTTTTGTAGTCGACAAAACAAATATACACATCGCAGTTAACATCCCTGCATCTTTGCATAAGCACTTGGACAGCGAATAGAGCCTCTCGGGTGCCTAAGGAATCGCGGAATCCAAACTGCATTCATGATACTTGTTCTTCGCATTTTTTATATATTCTGCCGCGTATCACTTTCAAGAACGTTTTAAGTAAGTGGCTCATTAGGCTAATTGTTTTGTAGTCTTCGCATGTCTTGTCATTTACTTTTTTTGGTATGGTCACGAAGGTCGACTTTAATCAGCTTTGGGGTATTTTTCCAGTTACGTAGATGTTGTTGAATAGAGTTGTTATCCATTTTATTCCCTGTTCATCCTTAAGTTTAAGGAATTCTGCACAAAACTCGTCAGACCCTACCGCTTTACGATCTTTAGTTCTTTTAATAGCTGACGTGACTTCTTCAATTGTAATCGGGGGTCCTGTTTGGCATTCAGTGTCTTCAATGGTAGTCTGCCTCTCATCTGCAAAAGTTACCTCCACATAATTCTTCCAAGTGTCTAGTTTTTCTTCCACGGGTTAACAGTTGTTTGCCTTGGTTATCTGCCAAACACCCAACTCTTCTAGGTTTATATAAGCCTGCGGCTTCTTTAACTTTTTTGTGCATATTAAATGTATCGTGTTTATGTTACAATTGCTGTATTTCCGACCACTGTTTTCTTAGATGTGCATCCCCAGCTACTCCAATAGCTTTTTTGATCTTTTTATCGATTCTTTTGTATAATGACATGTCTTGATCTTTGAACTTTCTCCTCTCTATACTTCATACCCCTAGTATGTAGCACATATTCAGCTGAGCTCTACGCTATCTACCTGATCATAACAGATTCCCTTAGTTCCCTAAATTCATTAAAATATATTTTTCCGTAACATCTTTTTGAAAAGTTTCTTAAATTGCAGCTGTTTCAAGCTCATCAACATGGAACATGGAACAGAGTTCAATTTTTGTCACACGTCGGAATACCGAGAAAGGAAGAAGCTGACAGGGCTGCACGAGAGGCAGTTTTAAGTGATTTGTTGGAGCCGATAGACAAGTGTGTTTCCAGTGACTTAAAAGCTTATTTTAAAAATAGAGTGTTGTGTTTGTGGCTAAATGAGTAGTCTCAAACTAATTCTAAGCTGAATAAGATCAATAGTAATGTTTCCCAATGGATTTCATCGCCGCTTAACAGGCGTGAACAAATTGTGCTTGCACGTCTACGTCCAGAACATACCAAGTTAACACACTCTTACTTTCTCACAAAGAATAACACATCCATATGTGATCAGTGTAACGTTCGATTAACAATTAAACACTTTCTAATAAATTGTAATAAATATGGTCACGAAAGACATCGTAAACATCTCGAACTCTGTAGCAGAAGCTCTAGGTTAGAAGTGTTCCTATGATAATTTAATTAAATATCTGAGATGTATAAACATTTTCGATAATCTGTAATTATTCAATTTTGTTATTTATATTTTATTCCGTCGCTAATAAGCTTTTGGTGAATGCTACTATTTTTCTAATAAAAAGAAAATAAAGAATTGATAACATAGTCGTTTATACATAATTTATTATTTTTTAGTTTAATTTGTTGCAATTTATTACAAATTTCTATATTTAACTCCATTTAGTAGATAGAACCTTACATAATTATAAACATGTTATGTTGTCATAGTTTATATAAAGGTATAATCTAAATGTACATAATATATTCTGTATAAATTAATGTTATTAACTATATGCTAAACAAACCGACAATGAAAAACAATAAAAAAAGGTTTCAAAACTTAATAAATTTATTTTATTTTCAGTGCCATTGAATCCTGCCCGTGCCACCCGCAAATTTACTGCAAAGAGACTGGAAGATGATGAGGATACAGCGAAGGAAATGCAGAAACTTCGAGAGGCCCGAGCTGCAAGATTGGCGTTTATAAATGAGGAGGAAAAGGTTGAGAGGTCATCGGTAGCAGTGGATGATGCGGTAAAAGCCAAGAAGAAGAAAGAGGACGAGAGGTTAGCAGAAGAAAAGTGAGTGCTGCGTTCGTTAACCAATTTCTAAGTTTTGTTGTGAGATTTGACATAACATTTTAACCAAAGATTTATAAAGGTATTTACTGAAGCAGGGAGGGAAAAATATCTCAATCGATGTTCTTTTTGAAATGCAATTAAAAATTTAATAGTATTGTCAACGATAAAAACACCCTCAATAAAAGGTAAATATAATATAGGCAAAAATATAAATAGGATACAAATCCTAAATGGTAGACAAATCCATAAAATTTGTTTCCCAAGCTTTTCAAAGCTAGTTTTAACATTCAGTCCAATTTTAAACTTTTATGTAATAACTAGTGTTGCCTACTGCTTATTGATTTTTTCTGCTTGGCGAGTAATATTTGACTGTTTTTTTTAAATCTGGTATTAGTGTTATTTTGGAACTAACGAGTATAATGGGAAAATGGAAACGAAAAAACTCTGTAACAAATAAAAAATGGATACAGTTAACGAAAGTATTAAAAGCAAATATGAATAGACAGTTTGGCTTTCGTTATGGCTTCGAAACAGTAGAAACTCTGCATGGTTTCACAACTCTTGATTAAAAATGTCAAAACAAAAAAAAAATTCTATAATTTCTATTTCCTCTAATTTTCCCATAACATTTCAGTCGTCAGACATAAAGATCGGAAAAAAAGTTCTGTCAGGCAATATAAAAAGTTGTTTTTGCTGCTGTTGATGAAAGTATCCTGAAAAAATTACCTGGTGGACTATGAATTTCGTCACAGTAGTTTTTCCGACATGTTCGAGTCGTCTGAAGGAAAAACGTCACAGAACCAAAGAAAGTCGCAGAGGCAAACCGTGTCAGACTCGACCAAATGAAGCAATACCCAAAGTGAGTATCTATCATAAACCTTTTTGCAGGCACTCTACCGGACTGTGACCATGGTCAATAGGTTTATAGAAACCGTGACTTCCCTCAAATGTAAGCTACAAACGAATTCTGCATCTCTTCTTTTGTTTGTGCGTAGCTCACGTCTATTGCTATGGTATGCGAACAGTAAAAGAAATTTTTTATAAAACTGCCATGCGCCTCGCTATGATTTATGAAATTGAGTGCTGCAGACTTAAAAAGAAAGAGAAAAACAAATAAATTTAATGAGTATATTTGGGAAAGTCTAGGGGTGGTTTTATTTGATGGCAAAATAAAAGAGCCTAGGTTAAGATCATTCAACCATACAGTGAATCAAGCAGCTTAAAAATCTGAGGACAAATTGCATAAGAGTAAGAAGGGGGTATACCTATAGAATAATTATGAGGCTTTTCTGGGTAGATAGAATTACGAACAATGAAGTACTGAGAAGAATAGGTAAAGAAAGGGAAGTTGAATTTACAATTAAAGAAAAAAAGCTACAGTATCTCGAACATGTGATGAGGGGCGAGCAGTATGGCATCCTGCGATTCATAATGTAAGGAAAGATAGATGGCAGAAAAAGCATCGGAAGAAGATGAATTTCATGGCTTAAGAACCTGAAAGAATGGTTTGGATGCGGCTCAAAACAACAATTTAGAGCTTCTGCCTCAAAAATCAAAATAGCTATCATGATTGCTAACCTCAGTAGCGGAGATGGCACCTGAAGAAGAAGAAGAAGAAGGGGGTGTAAGAGGTTAAAAAGAGTACAAGCAGGAGATTTAAAAGAGAGAATAAATGAATTAAAGCGAATACAAAATGAATACAGCAATGAGATAAGAAGATTTAAGAAAGAAAGGTGGAGTAACCTGCTTCAGAATCTCGAAAAGGATATCTGGGTGCAGGGCTTCAAGATTGTCTATACCGAATTTAAGGGGGAAAAGACACCGTACCCCCCCCCCCCTGCCTGAAGAGGAGAAACTCCGTTTAATACGGGAAGTCTTCCCTCAGGTGGAGGATAGGCGTGAATGGGTTATTGGTTTCGTAGATGCGCAACCTTTTACTGAGTTGGAACTCGGCGAGGCTGTTGGACGGATAAAGATCCGAAAAGCACCTGCATAGATGGAGTCATGCCGGAGACAGTAAGACTCGCCGCACTAAGATACCCGCAGGTTTTCCTGAGATTGTTAAATAAATTGCTTGAGCAACAGCAGTTCTCAACAATGTTGAAAGAAGCTAAGGTGGTCCTTATTCCGAAAGGTAGAGATAAAGAGGAAGAGGTGCAATTTCGACTAATTTGCCTTTTTACTTCGATAGCTAAATTATACGAACAGCTTGTAAAAGGCCACCTTGAGCGAGACCTAGAAGAAAAGCATGCGCTGAGCAACCGCTAATATGGTTTTAGGGCCAAAAAAGTCTACCATAGATGCAGTCACAGAAATAACCTGTTTAGTTAAGCAGGATACAAATGGATGGGTGGCTCTTATTCTGCTTGACGTCAAGAACGCCTTTAATATGGCATCATGGAAAAAATTATGTCCAGGCTGAGAGAATTGGCCTTAGTAAGTACCTGGTCAACGTAATTGACAGGTATTTTACTGACAAGTCCCTAAAAGATAAAAATACAGATGACAAAGGAATGCACTATTATAGCTTATGCCGATAAATCTCGCACTGGTTGCGAAAGCGGGTCAGAAAACGGACATGGCTAATGCGGCTAACATAGCCCTGCGTCGCATTAGTAGCTGGATCAAAGAGAACGATCTACAGCTAGCGCCTCAGAAAAAAAAAGGTGTCATTTCTCAAAGAGGGCTGGCAAAAAGCCTCTCTTCGCTTTATAGTGCAAGGTGTGGAGGTTGCACCGGTTCAATCGATTAAATATCTGAGAATCTGGTTGTCGGAAGGACTAAGGTTCGGAGTGCACATTCAAAAGATGGTAGAGAAAGCGAACCGAAATCTGGAGGCGTTGATACGGCTGATGCCAAATATTGTAGGCCCAGGTACCACCAAAAGAAATGTGCTAAATGGAGTTTTCCAGTTGGTGGTAACCTACGCTGCCCCGTGTGGTGTAGCGTACTAAACACTGCGAAACACGCTGGGCTGATGGAGACTTCGCAAAAGCGAATACTCCTCAAGGTATCTAGCGCATATAGGATAGTTTCAAATGAGGCTCTATATGGCATTGGAGCGATGATACCGATTGTTTTGTTGTGCAAAGAGCGAGCGAAGGTGTATGCGAGGAGGATAGATGTAAATATAGATGAGAATGAGATAGAAAGAAGGATAGTAGAGTGGCATAGAGAATGGGCGAATGATAGCGGAAACGGCAAGGTGGACGAAGGAACTTATTCCCAATCTGAGATCATGGTGGGAATGTAAGTTCAGGAAACTAGACTACTTCCTGATGCAGGTTTTGACTGAATATGGCACCTTTACAAATAGAATAGTCACATCTGCCTCATCAGACTGTACTGTTTGTGGGATACCAGACGCACCCGCCTACAATTTTAACTGCCAGAGATGGGCAAATCAGAGGAGAGATTTCAAGAGGCGCATGGTTTAGGGTCTGGATAAAAGAAACATTGTAAACATAATATTAAAAAGAGAGGAAAAATTGGAAAAAGTACACTGTCTGATTTCTGAAGCGATGAAGAAAAAGGAGCAGTACGACAGAGGAGGAAATTGAACCAGGTATCTGAAATTTATGGTTATAATTATTTATTAGATTATGGCCTAAGGTCTGTCATAAATTTTTAGTTTTTTATTTAAGTTATTCATTGAGTGGCAAGACCACCTCTCTGGAACGGTGGTTAATGTTTTAGGAACACAATTAATCCGGCACTACCTGGAATCTTCTGACCTAGTATCCTACTCGGCCAAAGATGTCAGGGTGTCTTGTTCCATGATGTAGATGTCCAAAAAAGATTTCCCCACCGTTGCCTGACAGGATTCAATGGATACCTTCAAAAAAAAAGGTTAAGATAGTTTGGAAATGTTCAAACGTCGATTTGCAAATTCCTGAGAGGAGTAGCAGAGGATAACCACAGGAAACCTTTTTTGTGAAGGAGATTGAGTATGGATAACAGACAAGAGAGAAACTTTTGGACAAATGTATTTGGGGAAGCCAAATATTAATGAAATATACATTAAACGAATATTTCGTAATAAATATTATGCCTAAATAGTTAAAAACAATAAATAATTCAACATTTTACCAAAATAAATTCCAAAATCATACAAAAGTATTAAAAAATATTGTATGTTTTACTTACCAACCACCGTTAATTGAGTTCGTCATGGTTTCACCAAAAAGATTTGGTTATTTCATTAGTAGAAACATTTGTTTGTATAGCAACTAAAAGTTGTTAGCAAACTTAAGGTTTGTTACTGCCAACTACTCAATTAGATAAAGAACCTTAGATTCTTCTAAAAATATACCAAAAAAATAAACTGCAAATAATATATTTTGGGACCCAACATACAATTTTTCACCTCTTTGCCAAATATTATTCTATGGTCTATTTGTAAACGCCTGCCTGTCATATAAATAATAACTATAGCTAATTAGTATGTTATAAATATGTCAAATTGCATATAGTGAACATATTTTATTCATGGAATCTTTTTTCCCATATAAATAGAACTAAGATTTTAGAGTGTGTTTTAAAATATACTAGGTAGTTTGAAAGTAACAACAAAAACCAAAAATATATGCAAAATATATTGAAAAGTAATACTAAATGAAATAAAATCTAGTTTCGATCTATGCTTGGCAACAAGTTCTATGTATTAGACATTTTTTACCAAAAAATGTTGAATATTGGAATCCCTAGATCATTTGATCCCTTTTTAACATCTTTATATTCTAACAGACTAACTTTTTAAAAAATTAATAATAAGGAATTTTGATACTCCCGACTAACTAATATTGGATTGCCACAGGGGAGTATTTTAAGTTCGATTTTATATATCCCGTAAAACATAGATTTTAAAGTTAGTATACCCAACCATACAAAAATTCTTCAATATGCCGATGATGTTGTTTTATATACAACAGGAAAATGGTTTTAAGTACCTGTGAGGATAATTTGTGATAATAATAATAACCTGTGAGGACCAAACATAATGTTATGTGTGGTCGATCCTATTGTATGGTTGTGAGACATGGACGTTTAAAACCACAATGCTAAACAAGTTAGAAGCATTCAAATTGTGGTGCTATAGACGAATCCTAAAGATATCGTGGGTTTCGCACACTTCCAATGAAGATGTTCTTCAAATGATCAACTCAGAACGTCTGCTCATAAACACCATAAAGAGGAGAAAAACAGAATACTTCGGCCATATAATTAGAGGACCTAAATACCATTTACTTCGCCTTATAATACAAGGAAAAGTGAAAGGAAAGAGATGGATTGGTCGAAAGAAACTTTCATGGCTGCGTAATATTAGACAATGGTGTTGGTTCCACAGTAGAAGAATTATTTCGCGCAGCAGCCGAGAGAGAAAGGTTTCAGGAAATTGTAAAGATGATGACGGCCAACGTCTGAATACGGACACGGCACCAAAGAAGAAAAAGAGGATAATTTGAAAGTCACATTCTTCTTCAAGTGCCGTCTTCGTTCCGAAGTTTGGCTATCATCAAAGCTATGCGTATTTTTGATGAAAGTCACATTAGAAATCATAAATCAGTACTACGAAGAAATACCATTATCAATTTCTGAAACAAAAACTGAGGTGTGTTACTTTTTTACAAAGACATAAAGTTACACACGGCAATCTTAATGTGAGAAAATTTAATTTCTTTCTAAAAACTGTATTAAGTATCTTGGTACCTATCTAGATAGGAAATTGTTATGGAAAGATCTCATATCTAAACAAACTTGAAGTTCAAAAAAATAAATGCCTAAGATTATGCCTAGGTTACTTAAAATCCACTCCAGTCCAAATAATGAAAAATGAAGCGGAGGAGCATCTGTCAGTTTTATACCTCACCCATAGGTACTAAAGAACTAAAAATATATACCTTTGGTAGAAAGCTATCTAAGTACAGTAAAATATAACGATATTCTCTATAAAAGCCGAATTCCGCCCTACTACGGTGAAATGGCAAAAACACCATTTTCTATAAATGTTAGGATATGTTACTTAAACTCACATTTACTCCCAAATTTATTTGATATAACTATTAAAGAAAAATGAACAAATTATCAGTACATTATTACTGATGGGTCAAAAGATGCAAATGGAACGGGATGTGCAATGTTCCATAAAAATAAAAATTATAATCACCAGTATACCTTACCCAGTGGATGCTTAATATACACAGCAGAAATGATAGCAATAATGTTTGCTTTTCAGTATGTACTACTGAATCTGACTAGCAACTACGTTATATTTACTGACAATAAAAGCGTAGTCGACAGATTTAACAATGTTCTTGTTAAATGCTTTTAAATAACGTGTCAACAAATTAAGTTTCAGGTATTTTAATTTTATTTTTGTTTTTAGAGCTTTGGTAGAAGAACAAACAAGGCGTGAAGCTCAAGCCAAGAAGGAAGAAGCTGCGAGAAAAGCTGAGTTGGCTAGACAAGACGAACTTGCTGCACAAGCTGCCGCTGAAAAAGCTGCTGAGCTAGAACGACAAGCTGAGGAGGCAAGGAAAAAGGAATTGGCTAAACAGGTACTAAAATATTACATTTTTTATTGTTTATTAATGTAAATGAGTCATAACTTAATACTAGACGAGCATAACAATCTGCTCTACGAAAATGAGAGAATACTTGAGAGATGGAGGCAATACATTGAAGAATTATTCAAGGAAGAGCAAGAACAGAAATCAGTGTTTCTGGATGTTCAGGATCACAAATAACACTTAGTGAAGTAACATATGCAATAAAAACACTAAAAACCAAGCACCTGGACCTGATAACATACAAGCTGAAATATTGATACTATTTGAAAACAACCAACTCAAACTCCTAACGAGTCTACTGAACAAAATCTATGATGCCACCAGATACTCTGATTACAGAATTATAAGCTTACAGAATTATAGAAAACTCAGAGAAATCATTAACAGTGTTCAATTTGGGTTAAGAAGCGGACTGGGAATGCGAGAGGCCCTATTTTCCATACAAGTATTGATACAAAGAGCTGAGACGTAAATTGCGAAGTACGCCAGGGCTGCATTTTGTCACCGACGTTGTTAAATACTTCCTCAAAAATGCTGTTCAGAGAAGTTATTGATTGTTTAAGAGAAGGTATAAAAATCAATGGTGAAATCATAAACAATTTAACATATGCGGACGATGTGGTTTTGATTGCTGATAAGGCCGAGGATCTGCACACATTAATAGACCGTGTAGTGGAAGCCTGTGACCAATACGACATGAAATTAAACTCTAAAAAGACCACAATTCTTGTAGTAAGTAAAAACGACGTAATACAGCACCAATTCACCGCTAATAATGAACCCTTGAAAATAGTCGACAAAATTACATATCTTGGATGCAGCCTAAATAAGGAATGGGACCTCTCACAGGAAATAAGATATCGTATAGAAAAATCACAGAAAGATATTACACAGACCTATACAGTTTTAAAAATGACCCACCACTATCATCTAAACAGAATCTCACGAGGAAAATACAAAATGTTGGCTCAGAGGTATTACCAGAAATAACTGAAGATGAAATCGAAAAAATCCATAAACGACATGAAAAGAAATAAAGCGGCCGGTGAGGATAAAATACTGGCGGAACTGCTAAAAGAAGGAGGAGACACGATAAAAAAAATGCTAAAAATACTGTTTAACAAATGTCTGTTTGAAGGTAAAATACCCAAATAATGGAGAAATGCCAACACAATCTTAATACATAAGAAAGGAGACCGAACAGACCTAAACAACTACCTTCCTATTTTTCTTTTGTCACAACTATATAAAACCTTCACAAGAATAATAAACAACCGACTAACCTATAAACTTGATAAGTACCAACCAGTGGAACAGGCCGGATTCAGAAAAGGATACAGTACAATCGATCATCTACATACGCTTAAAATCTTAATTGAGAAAACCAATGAATACAACCTTCCGCTGTACATAGCATTCGTAGATTATGAAAAGGCTTTCGACAGCATTGAACACTGGGCGGTTGAAGAAGCTCTGGTCAATAGTAGAATAGTTTCAAGACAATTGATACATGATATTTACCAAAACGCAACCATGACCGTAATTCTGGACGACAAATTAATAACGGGTAATATAAAAGTTAAACGAGGAGTCCGACAAGGCGATATAATTTCACCTAAACTGTTTACCTTGACCCTCGAAGACATAATAAAATCAACAGATTGGGAAAACAGAGGAATATGTATTAACGGAAAATACCTAAATCACCTTAGATATGCGGATGATATACTCCTGATCTCCTCGGAACGACAAGAACTGGAATTAATGCTGAATGAACTTCATGAAAAATCACTGCAAAAAGGCCTAAAAATTAACTTCAACAAAACAAAAGTAATGACAAACACGGAAGACCAAAAGGCAATAAAAATAAAAACAGAAAAAATAGAACAGGTAAATGAGTATATCTATCTAGGACAAGCAATCAGAGCTAATAGAGAAAATCAAACAACCGAAATATCGAGACGAGTAAGAATGGGATGGGAAGCGTTCGGCAAACTTTCTTACGTTCTAAAAAATCAAACAATCCCTCTATACTTACGAAGCAAGGTATATAACTCCTGTATCATACCGGTGCACACCTACGGAGCACAGATATGGACATTTACACAGGCCAATTTGGATAGGATAAGGAATGCACAAAGAGCGATGGAAAGACAAATGTTGGGTGTATCACTTAGAGATAGAAAACGTAACCAGTGGATCAGAACCAGAACAAAGACAGTAGACGCGATACAACAAGCAGCAAAACTGAAATGGAAATGGGCTGGACACAATGAACGTCTCTCAAGACGGACGATGGAACAATGCCATCGGAAAGTGGCGTCCATACAATGCAAAGAGATCAAGAGGCAGACCACAGATGAGGTGGAAAGATAACATCAGGAAACAAGGAGGTCCCACATGGCAGAAAACAGCTCAAGATAGGGAAAGATGGAGAGAACTGGAGGAGACCTATATCCAACAATGGAAGGATAGAGAATAGGTTAAAAAAAATAGAAAAGGCGAGAGCTGTCTTCAATCGCCTAAGGAAGATTTTATGTTATATGCACCTGAATATTGATATAAAAATACGAGTCTTGAGATGCTATATATTGTCTACTATATCGATCATGTTACAAACAACACCGTGATCCAACGTATGAATAAAAATCTGGAAATTATGCGTATCGTGAAAATCAGAAAGATGGCATATTTAGGGCACGTGATCCGTAATGAGAAGTATCAACTAATTGAACTAGTCTTACAAGGCAAGATAGAAGGCAAAAGATCTTAAGGGCGCAGAAGGACATCGTGATTGAAGAACATCAGACAGTGGGCAGAAATGACTACCATACATCTATTAAGAGCAGCTGTCAACAAAGTTGTATGGACCAACTTGATTGCCAACATCCACAGAGGGTAGGCCCAAGAGAAGAAGATCTCTGATTGTTCTGTCTATTCCCATTTGTTGTCTAATGTCGTCGTTTCTTATGTGTTCTAGTCTAGATCTTCTTGCTGACCTTCTTTAAACATCCATCTCAGTAACTAGTAATTTAGCGTTGTAATTCTTGATTTGAATTGCCAGATTTTAGATCCATAGGCTAATACTGGTTTTAATATTGTGTTGTAGATTAATTTTTTATTTCCTGTTCTTATATTTTGTTGCCACCCATTGTTCCGAAACATGCTCCAATTTATTTGCAATCAAATTTATTTTATTTGGTTGACACAGTAACATACACTTTATATTTAAGTATATAAAATATTTGTAAATAATTTATAGTCTGGTTACATAACTTACTTTTTAATATAAAGTATAATAATTATATTATTAAAGACATTACAACTAACTAGTGTTATTTCTTTTCAGGCTGAAATAGAGAAGGCTCGCAAGGCTGAAGAAGAGCGCTTACGCCAGGAGGAACAACGTAGACAAGAAGAAGAAGCTAAAGCAGAAGAAGTAAGAAAACAACAAGAACGCCTTGAAGAACTAGCACGCCAGGCAGAAGAAGAAAAGCAAGCCGAGCTCGCCCGACAAGCAGAAGAGCTTGCCGAATTAGCGAGGCAAGAGGCTGAATTAGCTGAGCAGGCCAAAAGAGAAGCAGAATTAGCTGAATTAGCCAGACAAGAAGAAGAACTAGCCGAATTAGCCAGACAACAAGCGGAATTAGAAGAATTAGAAAGAAAAGAAAAGGAATTAGCCGAACTTGCAGAAAAGGCAAGAGAAGAAGCCGAGGCTGCTCAAAGAGAAGCTGACGAAGCTGCTGAACAACAACAAGAAGAAGAACAACTCGTTGCAACTAGTACTGCTGAAGAGGCTGACCAAGCTGAAGAGGAATTGGCTAAGCAACAAGCCGAATTAGAAGAATTAGCTAAGCAAGAAGAGGAATTGGCTGAGCTAGAAAGACAGCAAGCTGAATTAGATGCACTAGAAGCGGAAGCAAAGGCTCTTGAAGCTGAAAACGAACAACAACCTGAACCCGAACCTGAAGAAGAAGACGAAGAAACAAAAAAGCAAAGAGAAATGGACGAAATTATTCAGGAAAAATTTGAATTAGCAGAACTTGAAAGGCAACAGGCTGAGCTTGATGCTCTTGAAGCAGAAGCCAGGGCATTAGCAGGTGACTTGGAACCTACAGGAGCTTACGATGATGAAGACGAACCTGCAATAGCTGAAGACACTCCAGTACATTCAGATATTGAAGAATAATATTAATTTTCTTTATTATTACTACTACTATTTAAATTTCTAATAAAATTCTTACAAACAAATTAGATTTTAAGATAATTTTGATATGAGTTCATCTTTGTTTATTGCTTATAATGAAGCATTTATGTTTTGCATTTTCCTTATTTTGGTATATGTCAATAGATTTATTTATTTACTAGGATTGTTTATTAATTTTTACGTTAGCAACTCTCTAATCTTCTCTTCGTGTATTTGCAACTGCAACAAAATGTAAATCTTGTTACTAAAGTTAGTTGTTATTCCTTATCTGTTTCTGTAATAAATGTTGATGTTTTAAAACTTGGTTTATTTAAAATGATTATTCTGGTGAAATTGGGCATATTAGTAATATTTTAGTTTACTATTTTTAATGAGAATGGGCTACAATTTCACTTTAGACAAGTTTATTTTGACATTTCAAAATACAATACAAACAAATTGTGTTTTTATTGCGCAGTAATAAAAAAATATTCAAATTTAAGGTTCTGTAATGCTTACGGATAGGAGGTTAATAATAATAATACTATTATTATATTTAATTAGAAAATGAATAACTTTTAGTGTTTTGCAAGCACAAATTTAGGGTGCAAAGAGACCAATGACAAGTGACAAGTAAGTCATCAGACATCAATAAAAATAAAACGTGTTGCCAACATACATAAAATAATTATAGTACTGAATTGTACAGCAACACTCCCACTGTATTTTACAAAATTACATGTGAAATAAGTACAAACTGCAAAGAAAATTACAATTATCTAATAAACTGTATAATTAAACATTAGTTTTAGAAACCTTCAAACAATTTCTCAATGATTCAAATTGAGTAACAGGAAATGCCTTTCCCTACAGGAAACAAAGAAGAAATGTAAAGGACAGACGCGACTGAGAATATTTACTAATATAGAGTGGGGTTTCGAAAGAAGAAAGAGCAAAGGAAGGTGAAGTAATGATCAAAACAAAAATATCACAAAATAACAAAAAGATCAAATTAAAGAAAAAATACTTTTACTTCAAACGTCAAATGATGACATTACTCATCTAACTTAAATCCTGTCAAAGTTTGATGTCCTCCGCTGGCAGCAGTTTTTTTTCCCATTTCTTTACGGCGGAGGGGAAAATGTTGTCATAGGCAACAATATGAAACATGTCACAAATCAACCATACAAATGTCATTAAACAACAATTAAACATCATTTTTATTTATAGTAATATTGAAAGTACAATTTGTTAATGAGGCATTTTCAAAATTGAAACCATGCAAAAAATGTTCCCGACTCTTGATACGCATTGGTAATTGTTGATGATACTGATGGTCGAGAACAACTTATGATAACAAATAAAGAGATAAGATATCGCGCATGTAGGCGTGGCTTATGTGACGTCAGCTTGTGCTAAATTTCTCCATATTGTGTTTTTGATATTTTTGTATATTTACGGTTCACAGCTAATATTTAGTAAAATAATATTTGGAGAGTGTTAAAAGCTTTAAATGTTTTGCAATATGAGGTGTGCAGTATATGTGCAAGAGTTTTTGTACCCCATACAGCATTATATAGCTTTCCAAAAGACAAGGAAAATGCAAGGCTGTTTGGAAACATTTGTGTAAACACCAGGATAGTTTTTAATGTTAAATTTGATCGTGTTTGCTTTCAGTACTTTATTGCCTCATGAACGTAATTTAAAATATGAATTGCCGGGGTATAAATCGTTAAAAAAGACGCTGTTCCCTCAATAAATTTATCTAAAACAAATAAACAGAACAAAAGACGAATTTTGATAGAACGAACCGGCAACATAAAACACAACAAAAAAGACTTGTAGATGAGTTATTAAATAGGTACGTGATATTTATTTCATTGAAGTGGTTAATAATCATGTCTAATGATTTCATTACTAAATATTTGTTTTTGTAGAGCGAAACTTTGTAACAATAGTGGAAACAGTTTTGATGATGGTGCGAAGGCTGGTGCTTCTTGTTTTATCCCCGAGAATGCTGTTTTGAAAGAATTACCTACTCGTCGAAGTAGTGGGTTAGTTTGTAGTATAAAAATACCTAACTAGCACAGATTATATACTATCTTCACTGGTCTGTGTTTTTAATATCTAGAATATATGGTCCTGTATACTTTAACTCTAATGACTTTTTTTAAGGGTTAATACTGAAGAAAATAATCGGGACAAAATAATACTTGGCCTTTAGATCAGATAATACTGGTACTTCAGATCTTAAGATGTGGAACAATGGGGTTATTGAAACTAGCAAACTGGCTTAAATGTGCAGAATTTTTTTAAATTAGTACGCATATTTTTGTTTTTTTTTTTTGTTATTTGTAAATTAAATACTTTTATGTAAATATGGCGATGGTATAAATAATAAATTTTAGGTAACTGATTGGTTTGATTTTATGAATGTCAGCGAGTGACTCCAGGAAGCGAACAAAGGCTTATATATGAAATGCTTGCTTCCATTCCAAAAAGGTGAAAAAAAAAGTACATTAGGACTATTTAATAATTCTCGTGACACCTATTCGTTAAAACTTCTATTTAAAGATATGAAAACTAGATTTTCTACCAAATATAGATTGACATCTAGTTTAAATCAGGATGAGGATGTATCGAAAAACTTCTTTGGAGCTATAACAGCCAAAGGAGGAGAAGAAATGAAGGCTCTCTTTCCAGCTTTGGAAATGTCAAAGAAGATGAAACTCTTAATATACCTTTGGATAGTGCAAATTTATGTGGAAAATATTTTTCTTTAATTCAAAATAACACTATTAATGATTCAGAGGCACCTACCAATATGTTTGATAGTAAGCTCAGTTTAGAACTCTTTCTAAACTGAATATGACGGTTTAGAAAAATTTGGCAGGTTATATATGCCACAAGCTGAAGGATATACATTCATCTGTAACTTTATCTAGTTCAAATGAGTTCAAATGGATTTCTCATTTAAATGAATGTGGTCTTTCATATCCTATTCCTCAAATGATGGAATATCTTGAAAAACTGCAGAAAATTTTGAATTCTGTAAATAAGGATAATTTATTTCTTTCTTAACAATATTTAAAAAAAATATTAGATGAGAGTTCTTCACTGTTGTGCTCTTATCAAACAAAAACTTTATTTTTTGGATCCAGGATATTTTTTTCAAATTAGACAATTAAATAAGATTTGCATAATTTTACTTTGTCTAGAAAAAGGAAAATGGCAAAAATTGTACATTAAAAATGTTTAAGAAATAAATTGATTCTTTCATTTTACCCAGAACCTACCATTCCACAGTTTGTAATTTGTGAGATTTGGCCATGACTCCCTCCTTCAAACTTCACTTTCATGGAAAAAGTGTTATTTTATACAATATACTAGTTTAAATACTTAAGATTAAATTCATGTAGTGAATAAAAAATCTACTAAATTATGATAGAATTTTAACAGTTCGTTTTATCCGCAAGCATGAATACATTTTAAAAACTTAGCACAAGGTGACGTCATGCGCGAGATGTACGAGTTTAGTGCGTAGCAAATCATATCTTGTATTCTTATATCATGAGAACAACTTTCAGCAATCATTCCCGATGTTGGCTTGCGAACAACAATAAGCTGTCTTTAATAATTGCAAACAACTGTCAAACAACTGTAACCAGGGAGGCGCAAATCCCACCGACGACTTAATTATTTTAATTTCTAACATCTAGATGATACCCCCTCTGTGGCTCAGTGGTAAGAGCGCCTGCCTTTAAACCTAAAGGTCGTGAGTTCGAATCCCACCTGGGTGGAAATTTTCGTTTATTAAAAAAAAATAATAAATGAAAATAATTTCTATCCTTGTGTGATCGGTACACACCGGAGGGACCGCAGACGTTCGGATACAATTAGCGTCTCTTAGCAAAGACAATGACGTCGACTTTGCTAAGTATCAAGACAATTACTCTACACACACACACACACACACACACACACACACACACTACACCTCAAATTGTAAGATTGGCGAATGGATTTAGTGTCCGCAGTCATTTAAATACAAACAAACAACAAAATCTAGATGACTTTGATAGTTGTCACAGTTAATTTCGTGTAAAAATAACGTATGAATTATACTATTTATGGTTAAAAATTGCTACGTTTGAAGAAAAAAATAGTATACTTTATTCGGCAAAGAAGCGACTTTTCTTGACTTGCCCTTTATTACGCGCCGAACGAAGTGAGGACGCGTCAAGAAAAGCCATGCTTCTCCGTCTCATAAAGTAATATACTATTGATGCCGTAGAGATAAAGAAAATATTGAACTTTTAAGCATGATCTAATGTGAAATCGGCGATTTTGGTGATTTTACGCATAAAAAACGTTTTTTTTTTTCAAAATCCCACACATGTGCTATTTAAATTTGAGCATAAAATATCTTCTTTTACCTTAATAAACATATCCCAACTGTAGTATGTTGGTTATTTTAGCTTTTGATAAAACATGCTTTAGAGCTCAACGTGTTTTGTATCACCCTTTCAATTAAACTTGCCAACAAAAAAAAACTCTTCATTTTTATGAACATATTTAAATTTGGCTCGTGCGAGTCCAATTATCCTTATCAAGCATACTAAACAAGGAGAAGTATTAGAAAAATTGCATTATTAACCGAGTTTCAAAAATGCTAAATAACAAGTATAATCACCGCAATTAGTTATCATTAAAAATTAAAGTCGTATTCGCGTGGAGTTGTTCGTGCGTCAGAGTGCTGGAAGTCATGGTAGCCGTAGGGAATTGTAACTTTTGTATACAGCGGATATTTCCATTAGCAATTTAATATAATCAGAACGAGGAATATATTAGAGAAAAAAACGAAAATATACGGCATTTTTAAATAAAAAAAAACCACAAAATGCATATTTTTATCCTAGATATGTCTTTAAAAATAAGTTTTTTGTATTATCCCCTTTCTTATGTTAAAGTTACATCTTTATTAGCTTTTGAAATATTTTTTA